ATTCGCTAGGGATGCTGAGGTAAGTCAGGTGGTCGGGTATGGGGGGGGAACAAACCCGTCTCCTTTAGTTGTTAAAGAGGGCCAGCGAAGACGATAGGAGGAAAACGGGCTGGGACCACGCCAAATTCAGCCGCTTTCCCTCGCCCTTCTGGACACGTCGACTTTTCGCACTCACCATCTAATCCAGGTAAAATCTTCTTAAGCGCTGTGAGCAGGGGTTTTTTTTCAGACTGCGTCCACTTGCGGAGCGTCCACTAGTCTTTCGAGCGTCCGGCAGCGTAAGTGACTGCAGCAGACGGCTGGTACCCTCCTATCGCGCCATACTCTCTACCAGCAGTCTGCCACCCTCCTATCTCCCCATACTCTACCAGCTGTCTGCTACCCTCCTATCGCGTCATACTCTCTTCTCCTGGACGCCAGTCGCTGCCGCTGCGGGGCGCTCAAAACGTTAGTGAACACCGATGCAAATGAACGCAGCCTTAGTGAGGGCACTGATTACTGCATGGAGGTGGGGAATCATGGCAAACAAGTTAGAAGATATATTAGTTACCCGATGTTTTATCAGGAAGCTTCTGTTTCAAACCTACTCTGAAATTCGCAAGGATTATCCGGACAATATATTTATAATATTTCTATCTCTAACACGTAAAGTAAATCAGCCAACCGATCGATAATTTAATTTCTTAGCCTGGACTATCTGGATGAATGTTCTTCAAACCATGCTCACTTTCTAGACCAACACACGCCGTCTTTTTGGAAGTAAATGTCATTTTTCCATTTGTGGATTGTGCATTTTCCAAGCTCATAATGGCTCCGAACGTTTGACGAATAACACTTGGATTTCCATACATCTGAAAAGTGGTCTGGCCAATAAGGGAATTCATAGTGGTCTGGCCAATAAGGGAATTCATGAGGTATGCTGCGCGCGGTCACGTAGGCTTCGTCACAACAACAGTAGCAGTCTGACACAACAGAAGAATCCTTCGCCAAGAAAAACTTAAAGGCAGTTGGCACGATAAATCCCCCAAGGCGACTAGGATCAATACTCCTGGCAGGATAGAATTCCGCGACCCTGGGCAGGCGCTGCATAGCGGTTTCCCCGAGGAAGGTGCCCTTATAAGGGCCCTATCAAGCCACAACTTTACGTCCCAAACGCCCGCCCGCCCGCCCGCCCACAAATGGACGACCGTTCCTGACGCTCGTATTCATTCATTTGCTAAGCAAATTATGAAGCGAAGGGATTGGTATGAAGCGGCCGTGATGCTGCATGCATACAGGGGGGGGGCCAAAAAAAAGTCATTTTGCCTCCATGACTTTCAAGGCGCTATAAGTTACACTTTATTAAATTTTTATCGGACATTTTTACTACCATATTAAAGAGCACATTAAATACTATAATGATACTCCGCCACAGCCTTCTGGAGGAGCGCCATCGAGAGATTCGGCCGCGCGAAAGTGAGTGGGTACCGGAGTTGAGCGAGATCGTTGATTTCTCCGCCACTGTAGACCACCCTGTTGAGCTCCGCCCGAACTAGGTAATTGAGTGGGTTCAGGTCAGGGGACATATTTCAATATTACATCTTCATCAGGTACGAAACGCCCTTCCATTCGAAGTAGGCGGGAGTTTTTCCAAAACCCTTCGATTCCATGTGGTGGCACCCAAACCTGTAGCAGCACAAGGTCTCCAAGAAGGTACGGGCGACCACATGTAGGGAGGATATCTTCTCGAGTTACTTGATGTAACCGCCAGCGCTCACCTTCAGTCGGGGTCTACAAAGAAAATATCGGTCTTCCCATTCCAGGTACGGCCGGTCCACACCATCAACCCGCGCCTTGGTGAATGGGGTGAAGATGATGTCCTGGACCGTAGCGACGTTGCCGGAGCTGCTCGATGTTTGAGGTCTTGCAGATCAAGAGTACTGGTCTCCAGGTAGCTATCCATGGGTGATTCCATTCAAGAAGTTCCGCAGCTGTTTGGAGGCCACGTGAATTCCAAAGGCGTTCTCCACTCAGGCCGCGACTGGAGATGACTTCATATTTTGGTGTACATGAAGGTGAATGGCGGCAGCCGGCTCCTGCTTATAGAGGAAGATCTTGGGTATCTTCCGCCCTGGTACTCATATCCACTTCCTCTGTCTGGGCTGCGAAAACTTCGCTCATATGTGACTCGGCCGGAATGACTTTTTTTTGCCCCCCCCCCCTGTATATGGGTACACATATGCAGCCGTATCTTCGGTAGCGGTGATTGGCAAGATGCCTACGGGAAACTCGTCCGAAATCGATTTACAAGTCACTGAGAACGGAGGCTTTTTCTTCGCACCGTTTCACTCCGTTCTTTCGCCATTTCCCCACTATACAGCGCCCTACTAGCATTTTAGGCTAAGTAGGAAACCATCGTGCCAACTGCCTTCAAAGGTTGTGCTGGGGAAAAAGCATTTTAGCGGGAAAGGCGACCAAATTCCCCCTTCATAGATAGAGCTCGATTCTAATAATTGTCATCGACGCACCTGAGTCCACGCTCCCCTCATCATCGTTACATTATGAGGTATGCACTGTGGGCAGCTTCCACTGGGAGACGACTTATGCGAAAGTTGCTTAGAAGTCGAGCGATGATGCGAATGTCTCATTTTGCTGGAATCGTCGGATTGATTAGCTTGACAGTGATGTACATGCAAACGATGAGGCGTGTAAAGGGGCATGAATTGGAGCAGAGCTAATGCGACTTTTCCGCCACTTGCTGCAGACTCCGAATGGCCTCACAGGTGGAAAAGACCGCCCTGGTTGCGCTCCAAACTACGCCTCTTCGCACACCAGGTGTAATGACGGTATAATAAATAAATTTTGTGTCGCTACTCAGATTATCCACAGGAGCAGTCAATCCGTTTTCTCCTGGAAAACAGTTTTTTTTTCACAGTATTGACATTTTCATCATGAATTCAGTGGCGCGCGCCAGTTTGCCGCTACCGCGTGAAGTCGCGTGCACCAATACGCAGCGGAATTCAGCAGGGCACACTTGCCCTCACAGGGGAAGCGGCAACGTACTTCGGGTTATGGTACGTTTTCCTGCTCTGAGTCTCACCTTTTCAACGAGTCCATCGTCCTGAATACACCTTTATCAATCGCCGATTCCTTGTTTTCTGCGAGAACCTTCTTAAGAGCTCTGAAGTACAAAATTTCATCCTCGACTTAAACAGCCGGAAAAACCGCTTTGTCACTCGAACCTGAGAGTTTCTCGTTCTTCACTTGTCAGTTCACTTGCCTCAGATGGCAACTGAATTCCATACTCCTCCTTGAAGTACTCCTTCAAGTGCTGATCGTTTGTTATGATGTCATCGTCGGATAGGCCTTGAGTATTATTTTTTATTCATTAGTACTGCTACGAGATACGTGAGGCTCACAGCTGATCAAACCGATATAGACTTACTTCGCTTGGGTGCGCTTGGTTCGTGCCTTTTCACGCCTTTGGCTCGAGCAGTCAGTACCTGCAATAGGGAGAGTTCGTGGGACTCTTGAAACCTAGCGAACCCTAAAGATATTTATCCGGAAGCTCTATCAGGTCTTGATAGGATTATTTATCTCCTGAGCGCTCAGCTCCCTTTGCGGCACTCGAAAATAATTACACTGGTGTGCAAAACTTAGGGACGAAAGCAACTTTCGATCACTGTGCCTCTGCCAGACAACATAGCTCGATGAAATTCATATCATATCAAGAGAGAACCTTAACGATATTGTACAGAAAGCAACTGACAGAAACTCGGAATAAGACGAATTGTTATGACATTTTTATTCAACCATGTCGATTACACATAAGTCTTCACGATTTATCCTGGTACTACAAAAGAAGTTACACGGATCCTAATAGGGTGTGTGATCACCACGGACAGCAACGGACAGCAATACATGCTCTGCACCGCGATCCCATACTCTCCACGAGGTTGGTAATGAGTTCCTGGGGCAGGGCATTCCACTCCTCAATCAGTGCATTTGACAATTGCTGGATCGTCATTGGTGCATTTGGTCGTGCTGCAATGCGTCTACCCAGTGCATCCCACACGTGCTCGATGGGATTTAGGTCGGGGGAACGGGCGGGCCACTCCATTCGCCGGATATCCTCTCGTTCTAGAAGCTCCTCCACCTGTGCTGTTCGATGCGGTCGCGCATTGTCATCCATGAAAATGAAGTCAGGGCCGATTGCAGCTCTGAAAAGACGGACATGATGTAGGAGAACCTCGTCGCAGTAACGCTGACTGGTGAGGGTTCCATGCTCAAAAATCTGGAGGTCAGTACGGCCATGCAACATGATGCCTCCATACCATAACACCTCGACCACCAGTACGATCACGTTCGACAATGTTTCCGGGGAGTTGCGTGTTCCCACCTCTCGCCATATGAGGGCGTCCAGAATCACTGCTCAGACTGATTATCCGAAAAGAGCACACGGCTCCATTCCTCATCGGTCCATTCGCCATGCTCCTGGCACCACCGTAAACGGTCTCGCCGATGCGCGGGGGTCAAAGGAACACAACGTAACGGTCGTCGGGCGAAGAGACCACCACCATGCAGTCGTCTTGCCACTGTAGTGCGTGAGATGGCTTGCCCTAGAGTCCTGTTAAACGTCGTTGCAATAGCCGAAGCCGACTGACGAGGATCTCTTCTTGCCTGCTGCACAATGTAGCGGTCGTCCCTTGGTGTAGTTGTCCTTGGTCGGCCACCTCCTCGTCTTCGGGCAGCAGTACCAAAGGTTCGGAACGCTCTCCATGCACGTGAAACAACGCTGTGAGCGATACCGAACTCCTGGGCTACACTCGTCATGGTTCGACCTTCTTCGAGTTTCCCTATGATCCTTCCTCGAGTGAAGTCATCCAGATGCTCTCTTCGGGACATGATGTATCGAAGGATACTACCACAGTTCTTTGCAGCTACTCGTTGATTGAGAAAAAAATTTTTTCATACCCATAGACTGCCTCGATTTGCGCGGTCGGCCATATTTGGCACTTTATTCAAGCTCTTCTTCCACCGAGAAAAGTCTAGCTTCCTGTGCATATCCCTTAGGCGAGTGGCAACATGCTCCCACACTTTCATTTACTTCCACCCAGTCATTAGTGTTTTATGTTACTTTATCCATCTCGTCCCTAAGTTTTGCACACCAGTGTATTTTTTGTTAGCACTGTCACGCAACATAAAGACGGTTAGGAGGAAATGGACGACCATAAATATGTAGAACAGTATAAATGAGTAATGAAAGTAACACTAGAAGCATGTTCAGCCATGGTCCCTGTAAAGGAGAGAGCGTGTGGTGGGGCGCAGATTGGAGCGCAGGCGGCAGCTATTTCCACCAATTATTGTGGGATGGTGCGAGACTGCGGCTGGGCATCATTGGTGGAAAAGTGCACCCTAGATGCGGCGCACTGCACGTCCCCTTACATTTCCTCTTTAGGTCGTGACTCCATGAAATAATTATGTTAAAATACTAAATATATAGGTATATTTCTTCATTATATAGTGTATTATTTTATAGTATACATTTTTAGTGTAAATAGAAATATAAGTTTTTTGAAAGTCGATCGCGGAGAGCTCAAAAAAGGGTGGTCAACGGAAAAAAGTGACAGTAGCGACCCTCCCAGCGAAAGAAAATTGAAAAACTCGAAGGAAAACAAATTGGAAGAAATTGAAAAAAAAGAAAGCAAAGCAAAACCTAAGAAAAGTAGGAACAAAAAATTTAATCGCGTAGTTAAAACTCGCCATTTTGTGGCCTCGGCTAAAGCTAGGAGGATTCAGTGCGTTGAAAATTTTATAATCAGAACAATTACAAACAAACCCGTCCTCCAACGGTGTTGTCGTTTCCAAGTGTTTCGGTTTTTCCGAAGGCTGACTGGACCTGCTTTAGCTGCTCATTTATAATGTCTTGTTGTTGTTTCTGCATGAGAAGCTGAAAAAAACAGCGTTGAAAAATTGACACACTCATCATTATATGGCTAGTTCTCCTCATCCCGAATCTTTGGGAGCAATATATATTGAAAATCGAAAATTTTGAAGGCGGGATTTGGGATGATTTCACGGGCTCCACCCGTAGAGAAGGCAAACTTACAGCTTATATCTTTGCAATCAATCTGGTCTATTTTTATAGGGGTGAACTGACTCCAGCTGCGGCGTTGCCTCCACTGGTTGTTTTATTTCTAGTCGATCACTACCTGATCGTCATTGGTGGAGCAAAACAGCCGGAGGCGGACTCATCCCGCCCTCCCACACCGCCTCCGTTTGGTTGCGATGTTGCATAGTAGGAGCCTTACCGTAAGTTTCTCTCTCTACCGTAAGTGAAAGCAGTTTCTAGTAAACCAGTGTTGCCAGAAATGCGTATGACTGCTCAAAAACGTCCAGAAAGCGAAACTTCCCCAGAAACCCTCACGCTACGAAAAGTTCATGCTCATACGGGAGTTCATCTTGCATCTGCAACTGCAACATACCGCTGCTCCAGCTTGATGATCAATCATTGATTGTTGGTAACGACGTTGCTGATCGAGATATTCCAACTGTTTCGCGTTGTATCGAGTTAACTCGGACTGATGACGAGCAAGTTGCTGGAATGGTACGGTTCTCACTTCATATCAAATCCGGTGTTATGTCGAACTTACGGCAAGGTACTGCTGGTTACGCAGAGTATTCAAGGCTTCAGGTGTACCATTTTCACCACTGAGCAGAAGTGGCATAGCAGGCAGGTTCATTCCTGATTGCGACATACCGCTTCCCATCGCACTTCCCAATAGGTTTCCCATTCCGCTACTGCCCATCATTTGACTAGAGCTGCTTGACTGCTGAAATCAAAGTTAAATTAAGAGTAAACGATTCTTTCCACGATTCGGATGTAAGATGTAATGTATTGGCAAGTGACGTCGCCCAGCTTGGGCACCGGTCTTGAGAAAAATCCCGGAAAGCACCTCACTCTGGTCAAATAGCTTGCACCCTATACTTCCTGGTGAACCAAGCTTCCATCAAAAATGATTAGAACAGGGCATGTCCTGCAGCTGGGGAAACTTTTTGGAAAATACAACACTCTTGACTCCCTCCTCTGGTGCGACTACCCCCTTCCCATCCTACCCAACACCTTTCTCGATTTCCTTCATTTTCCTAGATGTTCCTAACATCCTACCTTTTTTCAAATTACCGAACTTTCGAGGTCTGTCTAAAAAAAATTTTATTGACCGGGGGTGGATGCTATGTAGCATCAGTAAAATGGGGAATACTGCGAAAAGTCAACAACCGCAAAAAGCAACGCGACGAATTTCTCTAGAAGGCAGAGAGGGCATATACGACCCCTTCCCTCCCAAGCACGAGCAAACACGACCCCCCCCCCTCTGTAGAAATGAAACAGGATTAATAAGCGCCTCCAAAACATTCCCGGACCAAAACGACCTTCCTCATTCCAGGAACCAAATACGACCCCCCCCCCTTGTGGATTCTCTACCGGAGGATATCCCCTGACTTGAAAAATGGTACCAGACCCAAATACGGGAGTCAAAGTGCTGAGCTCAGAGCACATCCTCGCTTAACCACAACGAGGAAGCTATGTTTGGTAGTTGGGGTGAGGGGGTCGTATTTAGGTACACATGGTCTCGCATCGGTGATTGATTATGCGCACCAAATCAAAATCATATCTCAATACGAGGATGATGTGGAGTTGACGCAAAATGTTTTATCCTTTTTTCTCCTCCGGGCGTTGTAGCAAGGGCAAGCGTGTCACAATGGACTGGTGAATGGTAGAACAGAAATCGCGCCTGCCAGCAACCCAATCGATCATTTTCGGGACATTTACTTTTTTCTGTAATTTGACCCCACAGATACGATACCAACCCACCTCGTCCTCGTATTGAATGCCAAAAAAGGAAAGGCCGTTTGACGAGATCCTGTAAGTCTCACCTGCATACTTGGCAAGTAGGAAGTCTGCGACGGGTAAACGCCGGAATTCTGACCACCTGCCTGTATCATTTGTGGTATAGCATTGTAATCCTGGGCGACTTGCATTGCTAGAACATGGAACTATACGAAATTCAAATACCTGGATTATGGAAAAAGGTAAATTACTAGTATAGTATTTGCATAAATGATATGGAACCAAAAAAAGAGTACTACCAGAACTAACCCGAATAATTCTCCATAGTTGGGTGCAGCGGTGAAGCAGGGGCTCGTCTTACCTGAAAGGTCACTAGAGCCAAAATATACTATGGACGGGCCACTAGCTCCAAAAAACGTTCTGACTGGCAGACTGACAGTGAAAATTCGCGGTTCAAGGCAATTCTCCACTTTTCTTACAACATTTTAATTTAACCTCCATCTGAACAGTTCTCTAGAATCCATTCACTGCATTGGCGAACAACGACGTGATTTAAAGGCACAGTTCACACTAGTCATATGGGCGGAGACGGTCAACCGATATGACTGCCACTGGTGTATTTTTCTATTTAAGATGGTAATGACCACAGCACCATGGCTGACCTTTCCCGCCCATACGGTTAGCTTGGACTCTGACCTCAGATTCGTTCACTCAAATGCTTAAGGAGAAATATCCTCATTATAAGGCTGAATCTGAAACACACCTCTGTGGCCTTTTTTTCTTGACGATCAATTTCAGGAAACATCGATTTGACAAAAGCACCTGCTAGGTTGACAGCTAATCGGTCAACCACTGAAAAGAAGGTGTAGAAATTGGTTACCCTAAAGCAAACTTACCCTTTGACCCCCGTGCACTCACTTTTTTCACTCGCTGATGTACTAGTTTCCTCCTCTTCGCTGCTACTCTTGTGCTTTTTGGCGCTAGCACATAGGAATAACGTGAAGACGAACACCGCCTTCAACTTTTGCGGCATCTTAATTAATAGATTTTTTTAATGAGATCAACTGAATTATGGGCAGAATGCAAAGGGTAGCTGACAAGTACCGCGAAAATCAATCGCTATGCAGTATAAGAAGTAGTACATACAGTGATGCAAAATACTGGTTCGCCCCGAATAGTCACTTGGGTGGAAAATTCGCCAAAGGCTAATTGAAAGTCAGAAAGCAGCTGAGAGGAGATACGCAAACAAATCGTATATGGCCTTCGGAACGATTTTAAGGTTTTTCCAGGTTTTTAAAGCCTTTTTGGTCATTTTCGGTAGGAAGCGAAGTCTTTCCAAACCATACGTCTATCTGTGACATTGCAATGGGATGAGCAGTGATTTATCGCTGATGTTCGCATCGGTCGTGGGCGAGGCCGATAAGATGTTGTGAAAACTTCAAGAACTAGTAATATAAATTGCAATCTGTAACTTTGTACATGAAGCTTGCGAGAAATAAAGGCATTTTATCCTAACAAATAAAATTAAACTTGCCTCCAAGACAAACATGCTAAAATACTTTCGTCAGAACCTGGTAAGAGCGACCTGTCGCGCAATTTGGGACAATTTCAATTACAGTGATCGAGGACTTCGGAGAAAATATTCCAAATACTGAGCACAAAACGGTTAAAAATAGATAAATCAATGGCAAGAAATGGTCGTATCAATCAAATAAAAGTAGGTAATCAAAAGCAAGATCACAGCAACAGACAAAGCAACAGACATAGGATGGGTTAGATCTCGAGCAAATCTGTTCTCTGTATTGAGCGCTATCACCACAACCCCTTCACCCTGGAACCTTTTGCCGCAAGCTAGGCTGGGACAGGGGGAAGACCAAACCTGAGGTTGAATTTCGCCCCGGGTTCCCAATCCTTTCGTCCCTCTATATTCGATATTATGTTTCGGAGAACTGAGGCACTGACTTCTAGATCACCTATCCCTCTCAAGTTTGTGTATAGGCCCAGTGTCACTGAAAATGCGGCCTTGATCTGAACTAAAGTGAAATGCGTGGGACCCCCAAAGAATTATTGATAAACCCTGAATAGTCAATCCTCTTTAATTTTGTGACCAAAAATGATTCACCTGGCCGTGAAATTCTCTTCCCGTTTAAGTACGACTGGTTTCAGTAGGTTTTAAGGTATCCTTCTCCACCACGAAAGGCACTTAAGTTCCAAAAGGAGTTGTTATAACATGTGTTTGACGAAAGTGCAAGAAAGGAGTAACGGTCGATTGGATTTCGTTCAAAGATGAAGATCAGATACAATTCGTGTTGCTATCACACATTATGCGAAGGGAAACGGCGTCGAGAGCGAAAAGGGGGGCACTCATGGCGGCCCTATGTGACTATGGTGTCTGACCCCTTTTCTCACAATCCACTCATCTCTGAAATTTTTCGAATTCGAATAATCCCTGGCCCATAAGAGAGGTACGTTCCATGCAAATTATTCCCCTAGGCCAACAATGTAGAACTGTAACTTTACTACATATGTAACACTTCCATTGATAAGAAGGCCCTCCATATGATAACTTAAAAAAATACAATTTAGCTACTCAGTCTGAGTACTCATCAGCGATTGGTAACGCTGCGTAATGATGAAGGGGATACGGGACGCTGTCCGATGAAGGAAAGTGCACGAAGAGACTGCGATTAAAGCGGGGATCACCCAATCAACGAGAGAAAACATACACATACAATAGATACAGGACATCGGGATCGTTGCGATCTTTTTTTAGTCCTGGACTTTCTCTAGCCTCTCGACGCAGACTGAAGATTGCCTAAATATCAATGAATCAACATTATTGAAAATGTGGTGTAGAGCGGCTCATAAGTCAACAAGAAAATCTTGACGTTCTCAAACTTGAAAAGGGCACTTCGTTTTCCACGAAGAGCCCACTCAAAATCTACTACTGCGAACCTTGAACCTTGCGGCAGTAAAAGCTGTTCACTTTTTCTGACCGACACAGCTGTATATCATGGTGAGAAAGGAAAATGGCGATGGCGCCTTCAACCAGGTGCACAGGCAGTGGGTTCAAATTTTGGGTCGAAGTTCGCCTGCTTATCTAAACCTTCCGTCCTCTCGATGTCGGTTAGCTGGTCAATCGATGATAAAAAAGAGTACTGTAGGATTTCTTCTGTGGAAACTCTTCGCGAGGTTGATATACCAGTTTATTCGGCTTACGCACTTTTCGGCGAGACGGCCTTCATCAGAGCCGTGGTCCAGTCCGACCCCAGAGACCAATAGGAAGGTGGAGCTAAGCTGAACGGACTGCATGCTAAAAAAGTGTGAATTTTACATAGAATTGATCCCACAAGCCACTGCAGGATGCACGAAGAACCATCTATCGTATTGTATTCGGATCACGTCGCACTTTGGGAAATCCCCAGCCGGGGGGGGATCGTATTTATTCGGTGGGGGAGAGGGGCTGTATTCGAGGAAATGCTGGGTTGCAGAAAATCTGGGAGAAGTGATAAGAAGTTGGGAAGATCTAGGAAATGTAGGTAGGATTGGAAGGAGTTCGTCTAAGGTAAGGGAATTGGGGGATGTCGTATTTGGTCGGAGAGGGGGTCGTATTCGAGAAAGTACCAAGTGCCGAAAAACTGGAAAAAAGTGGTACGAAGTTGGAAAGATCTAGAAACGTGTAGGTACGATGGGAAGGGGATCGTAACAGAAAAGGGAAATCAGGGGGCTCATATTTCCGACAATTTTCTCCAGCAAGAGGACGTGCCCTGATTGTATTGACTTCCAATCATGGCGCTTCTTACAGCAGAGAACTACAGGGGATCATCCATTTGATCATCCTGAGCTTTCTTTCCGAATGAGTTGAACAATCAATCATTTCGATCGCAACGAACTTCCCTGGGCAGAACTAGGTCAAAACGAGGAGTGTGCTATTGGTGAATTAAAGGCTAATGTCTTCGCCGTGAATCGGTCCCTTTTTGGGAAGCGGCACGCATCCTGTTTCTTCAAAATCGTAGTGGCTTGTTGATTTAGTGTGGCCTGTAGGACTTGCGGGGGGCAGCCGATGCCAGCAAGAAGTCAGTGTTCTATCCTTCTCATAGCGAAATGAGGTATCGCGTCATTATAGGGGAGGTGCACCAAATCTACTATCGCTCTTCTCGAACAGCTTCTGCGAGTCCGGGAGATGGATGGTTCTTCCTTTCATCACTAGATGAGTTATCTTCTGAAATTTGCACTTGAATAGCTCAACACAGGAAAATACGTGGCTGCTTCGGGATGAAGGAAGTACTGTCGGACGTACTGGGCTTAACGGCGACGCATTCCGGCACGGAGGATCCCAGTTAGATTGCTCCTGGTAAACAGGGGTTTCATCATCATGAAGGGTTTCATCATCGTGAGCGCGCACTCCTTCATCGTCGACAATGCCGTCTGGACGTGATCTATGGGTGGTGGCCCATTTATGAAGTGCCTAGATCACCAGATCAGCAGAAAACTTGTACATGGAAGTTATTTAACATCCTGATTACAATATGACGTGCATTGTTGGTGCTGACGCGAATGGAGTACACTGCGATCATCTGCGTTCGGCTAAGGGTGAGCCTGAAGGGAATCACCCTTCTACAAGGCTCAGCCTCGATAGGTGAGGAAGAGGAGTAAGGAGGAATGTCCGTAATAACGGTCACAGTACTTCATAAACACTGCCAGCAGCCGAAACTGAGTGCGTCCAAAGGGCATCATTCCTCCGTGCCATTGACCTACGCGACGTAAACATTGATGACGAGTGGCGCAAGATCCTTTTGCTCCCTCTCACTGTAAACTGAATACAATGCGTGTGGTAACAGGAATGCTGCAGTGGTGATCTCAGTAAACGATAGGGCGTGTGACGGGGCGTGCATTGGAGCGCAATGATGGAGGCAGGGCACGCTATCGTTGTGATCATCACAAGGGGGGGGGGGGTCGTATTTGGTCAGTTCATGGACGCACTACTATTTCCGACACTTGAAAATGATAGTTTAATTCTGACGACCTCCCCCCCCTCCGCTCGACGGCTCGGTTCGATGAGGAAGGACAGAGGGCTGGGAGGGGGGGGGTCGTACCAACTCCCAAAAAAAGGGGGGGGGGGTCGTATTTAATTTTCAGAAAATGATCACAGCGCGATGGCGTGCCCTGGATGGAGGCCTTCTCCACCAAAAGCGCTAGATCGCTACAATTGGTGAGAGAGAGGCTACCCTGACTGCGCTTCAGTTCATGGCCCTTCACACGCCATATCGCTTGCACGGATCATTACTATGAGCGCTCGGTATCTGCGGACAGCGTTCGGCGACTCACTGCGTGACGCCTTCCGCTGGAGCGTACCTTTTAGCGCCCTATCAGGCTGCAAGACCCCGACCTGGACCCACCGCCCGCCCACAAATGCCGACAGGTGCTGATGCCCGTACCGCTTTGTTTGCAAAGAAATATAAGAAACGAAGGGATCGACAGAAAGGGGTTGTGGTGCTGCACGCATATATTAGCGCCACCTACCGCAGCGGTTATTGCCAACGGGAAACTCGTCCGAAATCGTTTTCTGTGTCGTGTTGAGCAAAGGCTTTTTTGCAGATTTTTGATCGTTTCACTTCGCTTTTTCATCATTTTCCCTTTGTATAGCACTACTTACCACTTTAGACCGAGTACCAAATTATCGTGCCCTATGCCTTTAATTAATAACTTAATCGCACGTTTATTATCACTTGACATGGTACATATGCGAAGTAAGGACAAGATGTGCAAAGTGGGGATTTCTCATTTCATGGTACGGCTATATCATACATACATGAAAGCTCAAATTTTACAACCCTACCACACAATTAACTTCACATGAATCCCCAACTGGACAACAGAATCAAAAAAAATTCAACATTATATACGTGCTCTATTACAGCAAAGACCCGGTGGTGTCTAAGAGGAGATGAAATCTTGAACGACGATTGTTCGTGTCCAATGAGGACCAAAAAAATACCATTGAAAATCAACCACCAAAAAAAATCATCATCATCTTCGTCATCACATACACATTGTGATTAGTATGTGATATGAAATCGTGAAGAGCGAATCATACTACTGTAACTATACGATCACTACAGTATCCCTAAAACCCCGAGTAGAACAGCATGCATATCCAGATTATTAGTGAAAATTATGGAATTCATAGGGGACCAGAGGAATTAATCGATAACCAAAGGTCTGCCTTAACAATTTAGACAGAAATAAAAAACAACATCCGATAATAATTGAGCATAGCATGCTAAAGATCAGTGTTAAGATAATCAAAGGTGTTTTGATGGATAATCAGGTGCCATAAGGCCTCCGACACCGAGTTTCTCCGCATTGTACAGATTCTCGTGTGGACCGTCATCAATCATCCCTGGGCTCGTTGATTTTGTTGAATGGCCGTGTCCTTGGTTGTTATAGGACATCTGAAAACACTGCTCTTTTCAGAAAATGTGTATAGCTTATACAGAGCATAGGGCCATATCACAGTACCACCTAACAGACGTGACATCTGCTGAGGGTTCAGATTAGATTCTACGAGACTATGAATTAATCCAGCTAAGGGTTCCCAAAAATCAGCAAAAAAAAGAGATACTAGCTAAGAGCTAGAGAAAGAGCTGTAGTGAGGCAGTACGATCCGCGATCGCTCATGACTGCATAGATTATCTCTCATGAGCTACACACATGTAATACCGCTTCATAGTTCGCCGCAGCGTCCACCAGCGCCTACTAGCGTGCGCCAGCGTCTACCAGCGTCCACATGCGTCTCAAATGCTGGGAAACTATAGGTATCGATCTAGCGTCGGTGAAAACTGTCTATTACCCTCGTAGCGCGCCATACTCTCCTTCGTTGGTAATTGCTGAAACGCTGGCAGACGCTAGATCCATATTTACAACTTCCTAGTCGACGCTGCCAGATGTTCGGAACGATGGTGGACGCAGTTGGTCGCCGGCGGACGCTGCCGCAAAGCATGAACGCAGCCTAGGACTGCTTCCCCGTTCTCCTTGATCTTGCAAGGATATTCCACGTAAACAGTACATCCTACAGCTCTAGTAGCTCCTAGTAAATGCACAGGTGAACAATCATTTTAGCGACTTCACAGGGCTGAATTGGAGACCGGGTTAATTTTCAAGCGATTACTAGAAGTCCTGTGACTAGACATTTGAACGCGAGCTATGGATGGCCAGAAATTGGCCATAGCAAGAAAGAATACAGTACCTGTTCGAGGTAGTCGGTGAATAACTTTGAAGTAATTTCGCGAGCAACTATGGCTCCAGCATGTCCTTCAATGAAGCGTATCAGAAGAATACCATCTGAAAACAGATGTATTTTTTTGAAGAAAATAACCATACAAGACAAAAAAGATAAGATGCCATTGTAAGCAAAAAATTCCAAAAATCTGCTAGTGAACCTATGCTTTATGAACTGAAGGAAATCGAAATCTGCTTTCAGAGGCGATCAAGATTGCACAATGAACGCAACGACACTGCAAAGACGGAATGTCGAAGTCGGGACCCCCAGAGAAGAGGTTTTATTTGCTCGCTCCAGGGGAGTCGTATTTGCACTTTGAAAAGAAATTTCAGTGTTATTTTCCGTTTGCTTGTTAAACTTATCGGTTTGCTGTTTCAAGTGCGCTATATGTCGCTGCCGTCCCCCCTCCCTACGTCGATAGAACTTTTTTTTTGGTGAAAAGTACAAGAATTCTTGGGAAAGGCTCTGGAAATATGACAGGAAGCTGGGAAGTTTTAGGGAAAGGGGAAAGGCCGTACTATGTAAAAATTCCCAGCGGCAGGGCGTGCCCATATAGTAAAGGGGGGATGTTGGAAGTTCTCGAAGTTTTCGATGGATTTCACCCGGAACCCGGAAGCGTAGTTTCATTCAGTTCGCCTTACAGTAACAAAAACTAGGCACTATGCTGCCCGAAATGTACTGTGGGGATTGCAAGAGAGTAAGCGATAGACAATATATGACCGGGCGTACCAGGGCATCTATGGAAAACGAGCCGACAAGAAACCAGTTAACTGACCAAGAAAAGGCAGAAATAGAAAGAAGGCGCTGTTCAGCTCAAAGGGAGGAGGGGGGACTCTTCGATCCTTGATGAGACCTATGAACCCTTGCCAGAAGTTAACAAAGCTCGTGCTATTGCTTAACGCTACAAGAGTCCAAGATCTCCATAGGAGGCACTGGCAATGGTCGATGGGAATTAGCAAAATGCCCCCTCCAAGCCGAACTGCGCCAGAGAGGTTACCGGAAATGCTGCTTAAAGAAGAAGAGATGTTAAGAATGACAAAGATACAGAAACCAATGTGGATGGAGGTAGCGAAAGAGCTATAAAGGGCAAATAAAAGAATGACGATTGACGTTTCACATGTACTCAGTAGAAGCGCTGTTAGAGTCCTGTACGCCGTGGATAATGGGGTGTGTTAGGGAAGGATGGGTTTGGCGCGGCGCCAGCACGTTTTTTTTTGGTTCTTTCGGCAAGCGACAATATTATCTACAGTGCAATAGCTATCTACAGTAGTAGACAGTACAATAGGTAGAATACTATATCGCTACCAGCCATTTTCCACCAGTTATTACTGCTTCCTCGCTTCAGCAGCTGGTGGAGAACCGACTAGCGGCGGGTCACACACATCCCTCCCCCTTGGCACGCTCCATTATCCGCAACGAACAAGATGCACATCAGAAGTTTTCCCAGGGTAGCCTAATATGGCCGGATTGTTTCGTTAGGCTCGAGAGTAAGAACAAAGGACAAACCTGGGCGAAGTGCAGCATGAGTAAAACGACGCATAATGTGCTGATGGCGGAAGCCGTCTGTGGTGTCCTCACCACGGCATGGTCCAGATAACCATGTCCTGGTCGATTTTTCGCGGAATGACGTAAGTACCAATTGTAAGAAGCAGTATCCAAAATTGATAGCCGTTGATATAGCGACAAGTAAAAACCAGAACCTAGAACAAATATTTCGAAATCAGTTCCCATAGAAGAGCCGTTATCTAACATTACTTACCAAATGAAGAGGTAAATTTTCTCGTTAAACATATTAATCATTAATACACATTGTACGGTGTATTTGTGAGTGTTAGCCAGACGGCGAATTTTGAAATCACACATGGTTACACGTGGAAACACTCCAGAATCCAACCATTCACGTCCATTCCAGAGATCGCGGAATGTCTGAAAATATGGAACCATTCAAATTAGAGTTCAAATATTCGCTAACAGTATCATCCAGTAGTTTGCTGCGGATGATGGGGCGTATCAGAGAGGTTGGGTTTGGCGAGCCGCTGGCCCGTTTTCCACCAGTTGTTAGAGTGGGTGAGTGACAACATCCTGTCACTGGCCGAAAGAAAAGGCAAAAGGAAACGGGCTGGCTTAGCGCCAAACTCATCCCTCCTGACACACCCCCCCCCTCATCCGCAGCGAACAAGACTGTATAAGGTTGCCGAAGTATGCTTTGTTCTGTGCTCGAACCTGAGCTTGCCAAAAAGGTCTTCCTGAATCATTTATTGCCATTCCTATGATTGAGAGCTGCTCAACTGCCTTTCTGCCACCATTCCCTCCATTTCCACTCGAACAGTAGGATATGGGCGCGTATAATAGACCCACTGACCCTCAAGTCTCGACGTTACTCTTGAGAGGTCGTTGTGGTGAAACGCAACATCGAGGGCAGCTGGTGGACCTAAGTGACCCAGACGTTCCCGGCACAGCGGCAGTTTCTTTTCCGGCGGCTCCCTATTTGAGTGTACTCGGCGCTGGTCCCTTCTTAGGTTTCCGGTACGGTCGATGGGGCCCTTTCTAGTCCGTCCTGGCCTATGCCAGTTGTCAATCAATTTATTTCCTCTGAGGCAAGGCAATACTGCAAAGAACACTCAAAATTCAAGGAGTTCAAGGTTGGTAATTTTGAAAGGTGTAAGAAAGTCGTTCCTGACATACCTGGAAGCCCCAGAAGGTGTAATCACTGCCCAGGAAGCTATTTAAAATATAAAATTGCGTGAAAATATTGATTAAGTAGAGGAATTTCACAAAAAGGTACAGCATAGATACGTAGGAGCCCAATCCACGGCCAAATCTGAAACAAAACTATTTCATTAAACTATTTCATTAATGGGTCCCACTTCATTCTCTGCCTAAGAATACTAAGAAAACTCAGAAAGTAATATTTGATCACCTAAAGCAGAATAGGCGGTATGGTGTACGACGTTCATTTTGGAATTCCAAACATTCTTCGAGATACGTGGCCAGTTTTCCTATTTCCTTCTTCCGATCACCTCCAGTTATTGACCGTAACTTTCTGGCATCCTCTATAGCGGTGTTTAAATCGATCCCTGAAAAATGATTTATAAAGGCAGCAAAATCGGCTTCGGGAGTTGGGAGTAATTCAACCCATTCATGGAACAACTGAAAAAGTTACTGAAATTCCCCACAAAAATGATCAGGTAAGCGTACCGAGGAAGAAATTTCAACGAGAACTTACCACTTTGCTGATGAAGTGTCTTCCAAATCCAATTAGGAATATAGAACATGATCGCTTGAAGTGCCAGTACAATAGGTACCCATTGATAATAACCTATTTCAGCCTGGAAAGCTTTTTATCATCAACTCTTCAGATTTTTGGGGGAAAAAACTGAAGCAAAATCGTCACAGCAGAAATATTTCACATGCAGCCGATATCACAGCAATCAGCCGGGACAGCTCCAAAAGTGATGGAACGAGCCCCCCCCCGCCCTTTGCGCTTAAATCACTGGTTATTTTCTTCTTGGATCAATCCATAACCGGTCACTATTGGTAGAGGAAGGCAGCCAGAGGCAGGCTTGTTGTGCCCTTCCTAGCAACACCCCGATTAATTGCGATGATATCAGCTCCATATACAGACCAGTGATCGATATTTCTCAATCCGAATTGTAGACCTGACGCCACGTACCCTTCCGTGCCTTCGCCAAGATCACGTCCGACTAGGGTCCTCATCTTTGACTTGTCTTTGGGTGATCTAGCGAACCCTATGGATTCTAAACAGTGCCTTCCGCCTTTACCAGATGATTTGTGCAGTATAATCGATGGTGCTATACCAGGTCTTCTACCCAGCGCTTCTAAGAAACATCCACACTTCGAGACCCCTGCACTTCCACAAAACATCTCGCTTGTTAGTATTCTGGCACCGATCGTTAATTCGGCGCTTCGCTGTACCAACCAGCAAACGGCCTGTATTGATTGTGATGCACCCTGACTGAAGAAGCGACGGGTGCAGAAACAAGAGGTTACGCGACGTCTTGAACTTCTGTGGATGGTCCTGTTGCGAAACCAAGAAACGCAGAAAACAGCGCCTACCAAGCACGAGACGTGTAGGAAACTATGGCGAGCCAGGAAATGAGCTTTTTCAAGAGGAGGGGACTCCGGAGTGGTGAGCCACTTATCATACGTGAAAAGCTGGAATGTGCGAAGTCACAATGACCATAGAGTGCCACGCGGACGAGAGAGAGAGCAGAGAAAAACACAAATTCGACGCGTTCAAAGGAACTGAGTTCTAATTGTCCTTAGGTAGGATGCAAGAGTTACACAGCTCGCGAAAATAGGCAAGGTTCTTATGCTCTAAAGGCAGAATCCAGCCTTCGCAATAGAGCTAACCTTGCCGAAGAGCGTTGAGGCACAGAATGATGCAGCCCTCTGGTAAACGAAGCTCAGCTCGCTCGCCCAGCCGCACCTCGTCGGCCCCTGGACCATCATCTCTTGAATTCTGTATGACTGGATATGGTGTTGCCACTACTACTAGCCCTCCTCTGTGTAGAGCGGACATACTTCGTGGTGGTTCGAAGTAAAAACAACTTAGTCGGTTAGCCTCTCACAGACTCTTAAACGGTGACAGATGGCGACGGCGCTATTAAGTAATCACAAATACGGCAAGGGGAGAAATAGGAGCTGGACAACGTGAAGAATCAGAAATTGTTGCATTTTTGGACCAAATAAGCTATGCACACCTCCAGCAACCATACAGATGCTATGTACCCCACCATCAGCCCTACAGAACGAAGCATGATTCATTACCTGCCAAAGCGAAGCATTCAAGTGTTGTATAAGTACCACGATGGCGTACTTGAACAGAAAGCTCAACGGCTGCATGACTCACTCATGTTGCACTCTGTTCACGCCTAGTCGACTGTTATGCACATCTGACCCATTCCAGAAAAGCTGGAAAGGTTCCGCTGTAATGGATCTGGCCCAGGCCCAAACGATGGTGGAGAAGGGACAAGTAGGCGGTGCACCAATGGCGTGGTGCTGGAACCACCTCCTCCTCCCCACAATCCAGCCAAGCCGTTGGTTGCTCTATCGTCGGCCATTAGACGGTTTAGTTCTACTTGATAGGATGGGAGCCCCCACTTGTCTCTCTCCACGAACCATTCCGTTGGCCAAGTCTGCATCCAGAGAAGCATTCTGGATGGAATTTCAATAGATGGCGGATCTCAAAGCTGGACCATCCCCTTTCCAGGTGTCTCCTGGACAACTGAGGCCCATAAATGAACATGAATAGTTCACCTTTGAGCGATCTTCGTCATCAGCAGGAATCTCTTCGTGGAATGGCACAAAGAATGTATTTTGAATAAAACAGTAGTCTTCAGCGTATTGCTCCCAACCGCCTTTGAATTCCATGGGCATCCAACATTGAATCGGTGAGCCGACATACCTAAAAATGTTTCATTGATGTTTTGAAGTCTTAAGAAAAGTAGGTCCAGAAATGTCTATAAATGTAATAAGATAAATTTTGAAGAAAATGGTATTATAACCGAAAAATGAAGGTATTAACAAATTGTAAAGATTCCAAAAAACCGAAGAAGCAGTTAGAGCATTCAAGGCACTTGAAACCTCTGCACTCTAAACCCATGGATTATCAGGGAGAAGGGTAGGAGCTACGAGAGCAGCCCCCCTCCCCGATGGGAAAAATTCCCGATCAGGCAAAACACTCCCACAAAGACGATCGCAAACTGCCATGTATCTGCTTTTTGTATGGATAAAAAAGGGGCCTTCTCTTGAGTGCAACAGGCGTGCTTAAACGGAGAGGACAGCCATCCCGTGGGCAATGGGTAGAAATTCGAAGCTCGGTAAAAAAACCTCGGTGCAGGGGTCTAAAAAGAAGGCAGGGAGATATCACCGACAGGGACCCTAATAAGCTCAGCAAAAAGTATATTTCCTCCCAAAACGAGACAAGAACACCTGGTAAGAAAGTCGTTTACGGATAGTGTTAGACCCCACAAAAAAATGCAGCCTTGTAATTGGAAATCATCAATTCCAAGCGTGGGAACCGTAATTTGGCAATGGTATCCCAGTCAAAAGTCAGTTCTGCTGCAGAGTAAACAAAATATTCAGTATAAAACAGTTTTTGAAATGCAAATGCTGCTTGGTGATAGCTCACGCCTTTGTTGATTGATTCAACAATCAATGAATTATGGATGACAGACGGACAAACCTCCTGTGCTTGCTCAGCTGCCTTACTGCGTTAGGCGATGTGGAGCGCACAAGTGGGAGGAAGACGAAAAACCTTTCCCAATGGCACGCACCGCGCCAAACAGCCTAACGTGACACAACAGGACACCCAAGAAAAAAAATACAGTTGGTAACGCCGCATCAGTCGGGGTGGTACCAGGAAGAGTGGAGTGGATCCGCCTCCGGCTACTTTGCTCTACCAGTGATGATCGCTTAGTGGTCGATTCAGAAAGATAGATCTAGTGTAAAAGACGCTCACTATACCGCCCCCACTAACTGCAACGATATCAGCAGTATTCCTAAGATGTACATTGAACGGGAGCAAGTCATCACCACTGCTTCCAGTGTCAAGAGAACGAAAGGCTATCCACCATCACCCACAAGCCCAAAGAGCAGTATTTGCGTCAAACTGGAGGAGCTGCGCTGTTTGCCAGGGGTGAGCCACTTGCGTGCAGGTTCTTGGAGACTATCGGAAGTGGAAGATATCACTTACCCAGTTGTTTCGACAAGCTAACTATGGTAGACAGTTCAACTGTCATGTCTTGGCCTTGCAAGTCTCCTTGGTCGACAATTATGTTGGGATCGCAGGCACGTCCATTTGAGAGGTTCTGAGCTCTCCATAGGGCTTACTAGGGTCAAAAGAGAGCCAAGGAGGAGGGTCTCGTAAGGTTATTGCTCAGAAGTGGCTTCAAAAACTTTGTGCACTGATTCTGCCAATCTTGCCAATCTTTTGCTGGGACCCTTCTTCCATCCACATTCAATGAACTCAAAAGCCTATTAGAGTTTGGATAGTGGAGGTCAGACCTTTTCTAATCCAAATTTCAGGCGATCTCTCATATCCTCGATGCCCGGCTCCTTCCGCAACTTACTAGTTAGTATGAACTCTAAAGCTCCCTCCATCACTATCTTCTCGGTCTCGACCATTCGCTTCGGTTTATGGCCCAAACCGATATTGCCAACCTCGACACCCTCGATAAGAGGGCACTGCATAGAAATTAGCCATCGCACGTTGCAAACCTAGGTCGCCGCGCACGGCGATTATCAAACCGATATTGTCATAGAGAATTCTGATCAGGGCTGAGAATGTCACATCGGACCAAGGTTCTCTCCACGTCTAGGGCTAGGATCTCCAGGCTCCCCCTTATAAAATTAACTTGTATTCGAAGATAAGCATGAAATTGATATCTAGGTGTCCCGAGGCCCAGGCTGGGCCAAGCTACAACATCCCAAAACCTGATCACTGTTAGACTACCTTCAAAGACCATTTCGCACATCCATTTCTGGATTACCAGAAGAAATTGGCCATGTTTCTGAAACAACTTCGCGGGGAAAAATAGCCATGAAAAACTTCTGGGACGACTGAGTTCTTGGTACTTCGAATCATTTTGGAATGAGACCCCGTTACGAGATTTCCAGAACCCAACGATTCCCGGAACTCATGCTCACCTAAGAAGTTCTATACTACTAGTAAGTCATATGTCACGTCCACAAAAATTAATAGAGAGGAGATGCTTCAACGGTTTGAGGCGCCGCTCACCGCGCACTCGATGTAGAATCGAATCTCGCATCGACTTCCACCCGCACTGGTTAGGGCTTTTCCCTCCGGTTCCGAATGGTCAGACCGACCATATGTACACCACTTGACCGTGAGACGGAGTAGGCTGGCACTGGGACATGGCATAGAATGGGTAACTCGTGAGATATTTCAGTTTGAGACAACTGCCATTTTGTTCAGTGTTGGACAGAGACATGACCACAACAGTGTCAAATGAAATATCCCACCAAAAGCACAGCAATTGCCACGTTTTGTTGAAGTGCGCAGCCACGCCTACCGCATCTCGGGGATTTGTAGTGTAAAACTGACGTGGACTTCGGTCTTCCCTCCCCCCCCCCTGCCAATCACTGGATCGCAATCAAATCGCTTCACTTATGCACCTCGAATAATAACGAACTTGATCAAGGTGGTGCAACACCAGAGGAACAGCGGGAGAAGAACAAGGGTAGGAGCAGCGTTGCGACGGTCGCGGGAAGTTTGAATCATTTATGTGATGTTCCCACACTTCGATCCCTTTTTCTCCACCACGTGGTTCCCTTCTCATTCTCAGTACCAGAGTTGCTCTTGGATGAGTCATCTGGGTGGTCTTCTATCGGCCTGACCTCACTTCCTTCCCACATTGAATTCTCCACCCTTCACCTTCGGGAATGATCTGTAAGGATGGACGTCTCTTTAAAGACCAAATATGTAACCCTCTCTTCATGCTCCAGAATTCACCCCAAACTATGAACTGGGCTCGTGAGTATTTTTTCGCAGACACCTCGCATGAAAGATGCTGCTACTTATTAACCTGGATGGAGGTGGTGAAATGGCAACTGGCCTGCTTACCGTGCGCATCGCCCAGGCGTCAAATACCAGATCTGCTTCCGTCCAGGCCAACCAAGTCTTCTAGCCCCCTGGGCTAACTGCTACCATTTTCATTTGTGTGGTCCAAAACAGAGGCCTCTCACAATGTCTGCCCCCGGCAAGCAATCGTATTGGCAATACCGCGCTCAAAGGGCCACTACGATTCGTACAGCCGCGGGGAAAAAACTTGGAAAAAGCATTTAAACGGCATTTTATGAGTTCCAGGCTATCTCTCTCTCTTATTATACATCAGTATTAGGGTCAGAACCTTAAGATATAATATCATTGTACAATAATATTAAAATTTTGGTCAAGCGGAAGTAGCGCCACTTCTCGCAGGCATGGTCTGGGGTTCAAACTCCGGAACGACTCCCGTTCGAGTCAACCGAGCTTCCCGTGCCTAAGGGAAAAAGTAATTAGATCACACTCGTCAGAGAAGTCAAAAACGCCGTACCTACACTGTCAGCCCTCCATCTCCCCCCCCCCCCAATTTCAAGTGCTGGGGTTTTCGGCGCAGGCGTCTTCTGCGTACGCGGCGACATGATTAAATGACATGTATCATTCCCACTTATCCCATCGGAAAAAGGAACACACCTGTCTTAGCGTTCCCCCTCATTTCTTCAATTTTTTTACAACTGTAAAAGAACCTGTGTTCTTCCCAAGGCATTGAAACCTTCAATAACAAATTCAGTATCAGTGAAAGCGGCGTGTGCATCACAGTAATCTTCGAAATTCTGTCCCGGCACGAGTTCAATCAGCCTACTCCACCGCTTGAGAAAGCTTTAAGGCGTGCTTAATTTGAGCAAACGAAGTTTTCATGTGCAATTCAGAAACCATAGGAAACTATTGAAAAGCACGCGACTTGGACTTGTTCCAAGTTTTTTTTTCCGCGGTAGGCTGCACCAGAGCACGTCGTTGTTGGGGACTTGAGGGAAGTTGCTGACCTTTCGTGGTTTTCCTATCTCACTGGTTCATGTGTACTATTATGCCCCACCCCCCCTCGTTCCAACCTCCCAAAAAGTGGAGTCGTACGGACTCGAGCAAAATCCCCAATCAATGATGTGCCCTGGTCTGCATCCCAAAAAGGGGTATATTGACTGCGACAGCTTTATCCTTTTGTTCTTCAATCAATAATCGATCGAATTAGGGTGGTGAATTTTATTCTGTATCATCACCAACTTACTGAGGGAATCAAAGAGTGACTGACTTCATCATCAGGAACCATTTTAGCTCGGGTTAGGAGATCGATGGCAAGTAAGAAAGGCTCGCCGTAAAGACCGCGTCATATATACGTGCATATTTGTTTATGATGAGTGTCTCGCACGGTCGGTGCACTCTGCTGACCCCACAAAGGTCCACATGATGAGCAATGAGGTGTGAAGCTGCATCACATCGATGCACACAGCTCGACTCTCCCACAAAAACACATTCGCATCACTGCAGTAGTTACTTGTAAGTGAAGAAGAAACTGATCACATGAATCTTTTAGAAAGGATGTCTGGAAATAACCCGTTTCATCAACAAAGTGCCGCCGACTTAACGCCATCCTTTCCGCAAATACTAAACTGGTAACTGAGACGATTTAGAATTCCAAGGATCCTCGCATTTTTCATTAATTACAAACCAGTCCGTAAAGTAGCTCCCAACGAAACTTTTAAAAGTCGGGCCAGAGTTCTTCCTCAAATCTATTTCCTGGTGAGCGTGAACGGGTAGTTCATAAAAGACGGTTGTAAATCGTGTGGTAGGAGTAAGTTTGCCCGACTAGTTAGTACAGATCACTAAAAGAACCCCCGCAGAGACAGCAAATGTAAGTCCTCTGAAACAAAATTTTGATATGGAACCTGAGCCTTGGAAAAAAAGCTTCGCGGCGGCCTCTCTTGTTCCCAGGGAGCCGAGTGATCGGGGACTGGAAATGGCCGTTCATTTGCGCAGATGTTGTCGTTCGATAAATTGTTTCTGTTTCGCAAATGCGTTAGACGCCCACGGGGTGGGCAGCCAGCTCAAAACAAATTCTCACAATCATACCCCCTTTACTAAACTCAGTGATGATTGCTCAACTGAGATCTATGGGACTCTAAGGTTTGGCGCTGAGACACACTCTACCCTTGACTTAGAAAGGGGTCTCCTACCACCCGCGCGGTCAACTGTAGTTCCAAACCAGTGCAACCATAGGTTAATGTTCATTTGCTCCACACTGAATGCACAACTGGTAATGACCGATCCGAATAGAAATTACTGATAGGTTCCGGGACTTGACACTAAAAATCCTCATTTACACCATTCCAAAGTGACTTTCTTAGAAAAATATGCCACGCATGTAATAGCCCGTAATAAGATACTGCTGTCGCTTCACGAGTTTTTCGGCTGGCCGAGACAGTGAAAGGTTTCAGTAGACGCTTGTTCTCAATAGAACTTGGAGAAGCTCATGAGAGGGACAAGGTAAATGTGTAGTAGTTACTCATCCAACAAGTTACATCTGGGTGATCGCTGACTAATCCTTTTTCCATGGCCCTGTAGCGAAGCAGCAGCGCAGACGGTCTACGGACAACTTGAACTCAATCCCTTTGAACGCGTCGATTTTCTCTTTTTCTCTGCACTCTCTCGTCCGCATGGCACTCTATGGCCGTTGTGACTTCGCTCACTCCAGTTTTCACCGACTATAAGTAGCTCACCCACCCCGGAGTCCCCTCCCCTTGAAAAATCCCGTTTCCTGGCTCGCCATACGTTTTTTGCACGTTTCGATGCTTTGGCAGCCGCTGCCCTCTATCCGTCTGCGTCACAGGGTTTCGTAACAGGACCATGCACAAAAGTTCAAGGCGCAGACAAATGGTGATCAACGGCTGACAGAGCCTCGAAACGTGAGATAGAACGTAGGGCGAACTAGTGCAGGTGGACGTCGAAGAGATGGTTT